TTCTCAGATGGAAAAGAGAAAAGTTTTCTAAACCGGCACGCCCTCTAGACCGGCATGATTTGCCGGTCCCAACAAATGCCGGTTTAGAGGGTATCCACTGTAATATCTGCACTGAAATTCATTCACAAACAATGTTTCCTCAAAACTGATTGACAAAATTGCAGAAATACTGAAGTGATTTTTCTCTCACATTGTTAATATAATATTATCGCCCCTGTTTCCATGACTACAAAATGGAGGCAACAAACCATGTTGAAGGATACGTACGTACAGTGTCAGCCACAATCAATCTCGTTATCTTCCAACATGTCTAAATACATATCACGATACAGATAACTGTATCAGAATTTCTTACTAATACATTGAATTTTTACCAGTACATAGCCCTACCATGACGCTTAAACTTTTAGTGTAATTTGAACCTCAACATCAGTCTGAGTAACATGCAGTGTAGAATTTTGATTTGTTTTAATTAGTGGTGGTCCAATTAATTGAAATAATCGAAGATTGGTTGTAGTGACTAAATGACCAAGCAAGCGATCATAATTTCTCATAATCGATCACAAACAATTCTGGAACACTTGTTTTCATTAACAATATTTTTCACATGGTTTGTTTTGTCTCTTACATTTCGTAAGCACTACAAGCTCGTTTCAAGTCAGGATTGAATTTATCTTAAAGATTCCAAGAAATTTATGTTCCCAACATACTAGTCATCCTTTAAAGATGTGAAATTAGCCAAAAAACCCTAAAAGAACTACGTTTTTTCCTTATTTTTATGTGCATTAACAAATTTCATAAATGACGCTAACCAATTATTTTCGATGATTGATCGGTTGTAATGAACCAATCATCAATTATTTGAACCAATTCCCAACACTAGTTTTAATGATTTATGCGGCCATGTTTCAGGGTCTCGTAAATTATTCCTGTTTATTCAGTCTGTTTACATACACACAGCAGGACAATGCATCACTTCATCCCTGTGAAGGAAGTCGATACACAATGTCCTTTGTAGTGTTGTTTTTGTCAGTGATGTGTTTAATATTGTATATATGCAATAACAAAGCCTCTGATCTACTACTTCAAGTGGAAACGATGTGTTTCATTTTTTGTTAACAATCACAAGAACGCATTCATCAGGGTTTTTGATTTCTTGACAATTAACAAGGAATATTGAACACAAAAACAGTGTAATATTAGTATTATTTTGTTAGATGTGTCTTTTTGTTTATGTAGGTGTATACATGAAGCATGTTAAAGGACACTTTGGCCCATGATGTTTCGGTCTGATTGTCCGAGATAGATCACACAGCTTGAAAAGCCTTTATGAGAAAGTCAATTTAGAACCATGAATATATTGACCTCCTTTTTGACACTTCTTCTTGGACAAGTGGTCCAGTCTTGGATTTAAGGTGATACAGGTTTTAACAACAGAGTTGTGTCCCTTGGGTGTGACAGAAACCTCTGAAATCTGGGATAGTTGGTTTGAATCCTGGTTTGGTTTAAAAATGGTTATTTGTTGTCAGTACCTTAACCAAGCTGTTGGTATTCACCAGTGATAAATATAGTGTTCCCTCTAGGCACATTTAGGAGGGCGCTGCGCCCTGCCCTTTGATTTTTTGGCCCTGCCCTTTTTGTTTTGCGCCCTGCCCTTTTCACCTCAATCCCAGGGTTTTTTTCAGCTGTGCTTGATTTTACAACTACCCGTGTGTATTTTCCGGATTTTATATAGGACGGAGTTCTCTCCCTTTCTAGGGGAGATGCAAAATTGTTTTGATAATGATTAGGAAATTGGCATTTAAACCATGGCGAAGTCAAAGGTGTTTAATTCGCCTTACAAATCACAATGCCTACCAAGGAAAGAATCAAGAGGAAAAGAGGAGAAGCGGTGAAGGTTGAAGCAAGGAAGTGTCGCCGACTAATAGATTTCTATTATTTTTTCAATAATCCTCACCAAAATGCCCTTTTAGATTATGAAGTGCCCTTTTCTTTGAAGTTACCCTGCCCTTTCTGAATCCTAGGGGGAACACTAAAATATCTGAGACCTTTCTGTTCACATAAGACTCACACCTATCAAAACAGTGTTAAAACAACTCACTCTCTTTCGCGATCTCTTAAGCCTGCCCCATTAAAGATCCAGGGACCCATTTCACAAGCGATCGTAGTGCAACAACTGTACAACTAATGGGAATTAATGGTCAGTCCTCCTGCCTTGGTTCAGACATTATCCCAGTTCTATTGACAGATGCTCATGATGTCGGTCACTGGATTGCCTGGTTCAGACTTGATAATTCACAGACTGTTGCTTTTTAGGTGGAATTTTGCTGGGTGAGACATTAAACAGCAAACCAACTAAATTTTAATTTGACTTTAAAAGCCTTGTAAACGATTTTGAATGAATCTGTCTTGAAGGGACTTTGAACATGCTGTTGATTAAATATTCAGCAATTTTGTTTTCAAAACACAAATCTGTACATTGTTAAACTAATGAATATTACTGAATCTTCATTTTATTGGGGATGGATATTTTTATATTGTGCCATGGGGCGCTCATTAATGTATTCAGCCTCTGGGGTGCTTTTGATCTTTTTTTTAACAGAATAAAATAATGATCGTGATCCATCATCCATCATGGATAATTAGCATTTGTAAATCTGAAAGCTTCCCCCTTCCTTCCCAAGGAGACGGACAATCCTGTTTCTTTTCTGGATGTGCAAATTTTTGTGTGAATCATACCGTGTATGAGGTGTTTCACATGTTTAGGGCTTGTGATGTAGCCTAGTAGTTAAAGCGTTTGCTCTTCACACCGAAGACCTTGGTTCGATTCCCTAAAAGCGACGTAAAACTATACTATATATTTACATGTTCATTTTTGTAATTCATATGCCATATACAGTCTAAGTAAACTTAGACTCAGTATTATTCGTTACACTGCTCTACTGAGGCTAACAAAACCTAGTAGAAGGTCACATCAGCTAACCTTTGAGCGACCTATGACCGTCCAATCAAACGAGAGACGGCCCAACGGATTTAACCAATCAGACAACGACTGCATGTTAGGGTTCAGCGGGACTTACAAAGCGTTTTTTTGATTTTCTCTTCCCTTGTCGCTGACACTGATCTATCAACAAACAAAAATCTGCATATGGGGTAGCCTAGTGGTTACAGCGTTGAAGACCTGGGTTCAGTTCCCCACATGGGTCCAATGTGTGAAGCCCATACCTGGTGTCCCATGCCGTGATATTGCTGGAATATTGCTAAAAGCGGTGTAAAACTAAACTCACTCACTCACGCATATCCCTTCAGAAGATTCAAGTAAATGTACCGGTGATAACAAAGTTGGTCCATACAATTAAAAATGATGTCAAATTGGAGATGCATTATCCCTACTAATACTGATTTACTATTTAAGTTTTATTTTCTGCTCTTCTAAGCATTTTTATATATGCAGAATGATTACCTTGTGTATTTTCTCGTGAACTAAGCCACGGGTAGCAATCACTTGTACACACATTTTCAACCTATCCACAGTTATAAATAATTACTGAATAATGATATAACTGCAGAGAATTGTGAAGCACTCTATATACGAAACTAGACTTTTATCAGGAGTAACATATTCATATGCTGAGTAACACTAATGGCATACATAGAACAAGTGATTGCTATAATGGATAGGTTTTCTGTATGATTCAGTGTTATCGGTTACCATTGAGACTTCCTATGTTCTTGCTACAGCAAATGAATGTGAAATCCAGATTCAAATGTTATGATTATGACCATCAACAGTTTCAATTGTAACTGTGTCACTGACCCCAAATTAAGTTACTAGGGACTTGAGACATGAAGAATGTATGTGGATGGTATTAGTCCACAAACATGGCTGATAAATCTCCTTTAAAAGCACATTTTTGGTCTTCCTGGGGGCATGGAAAGGGTGTGTATTGCCATGAAATGCCTCAGTTTGGAGGCTCAAAAAGTGTATGAACTATTGTGCAAATCTCCATGTGTCTGGTGTATGGCCTTATGTCTCTGTGTCTGGTGCTTATGGCCATGTGTCTGGTGCTTATGGCCATGTGTCTGGTGCTTATGGCCATGTGTCTGGTGCTTATGGCCATGTGTCTGGTGCTTATGGTCATGTGTCTGGTGCTTATGGCCATGTGTCTGGTGCTTATGGCTCTGTGTCTGGTGCTTATGGCTCTGTGTCTGGTGCTTATGGCCATGTGTCTGGTGCTTATGGTCATGTGTCTGATGCTTATGGTCATGTGTCTGGTGCTTATGGGCATGTGTCTGGTGCTTATGGCTGTGTGTCTGGAGCTTATGGTCATGTGTCTGGTGCTTATGGCCATGTGTCTGGTGCTTATGGCCATGTGTGTCTGGTGCTTATGGCCATGTGTCTGGTGCTTATGGTCATGTGTCTGGTGCTTATGGTCATGTGTCTGGTGCTTATGGTGCTTATGTGTGTCTTATGCTTATGGTGTGTCTGGTGCTTATGGTCCATGTGTCTGGTGCTTATGGCTGTGTGTCTGGTGCTTATGGCCATGTGTCTGGTGTCTGGTGCTTATGGCCATGCTTATGGCCTTATGTGTCTGGTGCTTATGGCTGTGTCTGGTGCTTATGGCTCATGTGTGTCTGGTGCTTATGGCTCTGTGTCTGGTGCTTATGTGTCTGGTGCTTATGGCTCTGTTATGGCCATGTGTCTGGTGCTTGTGGCTCTGTCTGGTGCTTATGGCCATGTGTCTGGTGCTTATGGCTTAAGAGGCCCAGTGTCATGTGGTTATTACCTTGTTACAGCTTACATGCATCAAATATATGTTACAGCTTACATGCATCAAATACCTGTTACAGCTTACATGAGTCAAATACCTGTTACAGCTTACATGCATCAAATACCTGTTACAGCTTACATGCATCAAATACCATATTACATGCGTCAAATACCTGTTACAGTCACATGCTTCAATAATGTTTTTTCATCATCTTTCTCTTCATTCAAGGTAACAAGACTCATCATCAACTCTGGGAGGAGGTCAATAAGGAGCTATACAGTTGCCAGCTCATTCAGAGTAAGTACATCACAGAAGATGCGTAATGTTGTTGACCATCTGGTAGCCTTAATGTCAAAAGTTAACGCTGAAGGGGTCCTTTTGAAAATACTCTGAGGGCAGCACTTAAATTAAACACTTTTAATCTTCACACCTCTGGTGGCCTTGTGTCCAATTTACTGTGCAGAGTTGCTTCCCTTGGTCAAAACAGGATCAACATGTTCTTTTCCAAAGCTATCAGGCATACCATGAGCGTCAGTTCTTAATTTATCTTACCTCACACATAAATGTCAGATTCTGATTGGCTGAGATCCATTCAATTATTTTCAAATACCTTCTGCAGGTATATTTCTTAAATTCCTGGCTTCAAACTTTTGGCATTACATTTGCACCATAGCAATGCAATTTTATACCTGAGATTGCAGGATGGCATTTTCCAAATAATTATGATTTTGTTTTTAATGAAATGTGGAGGAATAAGTTGTTTTCTGCCTAAATAAAGTGGATAAGAGCCAAAGGATGTATTCTTACTAATTCACACCAAAGCATGCACAATCAGTGAGTGTGATTCTTTCACACCATTTTTGTGTAATATTCCAACAATATCACATTGCTCGTTCACTCACTGATGTCCTACACTGCTTCCTTGGTTCCGGTGGGCAGTGGGGTAGCCTAGTGGTTAAAGCGTTCGCTCGTCACGCCGAAGACCCAGGTTCGATTCCCCACTTGGGTACAATGTGTGAAGCCCATTTCTGGTGTCCACACCGTGATATTGCTGGAATATTGCTCAAAGCGGCGTAAAACCAAACTCACTCACTCACTCCTTGGTTCCAGTACAATGACTTGAAGGTGACGCTGACCGATGACCCACAGCCCAAGCCCCCGACTGACAAGTTGGTGTTCGGACACCACTTCACCGACCACATGCTGGAGGTGGCGTGGAGCAAGGAAGGGGGATGGAAGGCGCCGGAGATCGTTCCTGTCCATGAGTTCAAGATGCACCCTGCCGCCAAGGTTCTTCACTATGCTACAGAGGTGAGTCCAAGTGATGAATGATGACCGTCTTGTTCTGGAATGAGATTTCCGAAACTGATACCTTCCTTTTTTGTTGCCAGTATGTTTTAAACGATATTTATTATTCAATAGAGCATGTGCATATAATATAGTATTGAAATGGAGTGGATTGGCAAACAAGCCTGTGGTGTATATTAATGCCTTTCCACATGGTGCAGAATATACAATGAGGGTACACTACATATTACAATATATTAAGACAAATATACACGACAAAAATAAAGCATAAATTCTAGAGCATGGAAGATCAATTTTAAATGCGAAAAGATAGTAGATGTTAGATGTGAGGAATCAAGTGAAATATTACAAATTTTTAACTGCGCACTTATTTTGGTAAAATAATAACTTAGGTGGCGGACAAGGAAAAGAGTCTTCTTATTCAGTTCTAAAGATTAAAGATTAATCATCGCAACAGGAAAGAATAAATTTTTAACTCATCATGATAGCATTCAACAAGGATACTTATCGATCATGTTTCCAATCTTTGTATTGGATGAGCAAAGGTAATATGGACATTACCATGAAGTAAGGTAAGTATTTAAATATCTTAAATATTTAGATTTTAATAAAACTTGGAAAGAAACGTGTCGACTGGAATAAAATGGTTCTTGTCATTCAGGAAATCGCTCAGTTGCTGTAATATATTGAATAACAGAGTCAGTAAGTTTTAGAGCGTCTTGTTCAGGTACACCTTTCCCATGTAGGATATCTATGATACTTATGTTATGTGTGAAGAAATATTTATCTTTGCGTATGTGTTGGTATACTGGACAGATGAATAAGTAATGATAGACATCTTCAGTTGGATGGCCACATTGGCATGAAGGATTTTCAACTAAGAATCTTCTGTGCATATCTGCCTTGCCAGTATTCTGGTTGATGCTTTCGTATCATGATCAATGGACAGGTTGAGGTCTACAGATGCTCATTGCATCGGAATAGTTTGTGTTTACTCTTTCTCGTTATGTAATTAGGAGATAAACGTGCTGTGTTGGAAAATCAGAAGTATATAATGAAATTTAGAGCTATTATAATTTTGTCGTAGACCTCTGATTTTCCAACACAGTATGTATTTTTAAAAATCTTAATAATGCGGTTAATGTTTAATGGAGATAAACATGCTGTGTTGGAAAATCAGAGGTATATGACGAAATTATGATAAGGGATGACATGAGGTGATAAGGGATGACATGGGGTATAAGGGATGACATGAGGTATAAGGGATGACATGAGGTATAAGGGATGACATGAGGTGTAAGGGATGACATGAGGTGTAAGGGATGACATGAGGTATAAGGGATGACATGAGGTGTAAGGGATGACATGAGGTATAAGGGATGACATGAGGTATAAGGGATGACATGAGGTATAAGTAAGGGATGGGATGACATGAGGTATAAGGGATGACATGAGGTATAAGGGATGACATGAGGTATAAGGGATGACATGAGGTATAAGGGATGACATGAGGTATAAGGGATGACATGAGGTATAAGGGATGACATGAGGTATAAGGGATGACATGAGGTATAAGGGATGACATGAGGTTTAAGGGATGACATGAGGTATTTAAGGGATGACATGAGGTGTAAGGGATGACATGAGGTGTAAGGGATGACATGACATATAAGGGATGACAAGACATATAAGGGATGACATGAGGTATAAGGGATGACATGAGGTATAAGGGATGACATGAGGTGTAAGGGATGACATGAGGTGTAAGGGATGACATGAGGTATAAGGGATGACATGACGAGGGTGATATAACAAGATGGAGGGGAGGTGACATTATGGAGTAGAGATGACAACTGTGTGACAATAGAATATGGATGGGTTACACGGTCCAGTGCATGGATTGTACATTCAGTTGTACCCACAGTGCAAAAGCCCGATAGTGATGATTCCAAGTTGGTTTGGATGAGCGCAGAACGTCTCATATAGCTTTACATAAATCATCATCACCTCAGTTAGTCTGTATCACCTGGTCTTTGATAAGTGATGGTGATATATTTATGTTGTTGCAACACCTGTTGCCTCTGACAAGGCTGGTTATAGTAACCAGGTTAACCGTGAGTGAGACGATGCAAGTAATGGCAGATTTGATATTCATACTTTATATACTACTTAGTATTGATGAAAATTGCCAGCCTTGGAAGTGGGTCGTGGTCTTGTTACTAATAGTATTGGATGTGTATGATGTATAATGGGATGACAGGAATCAGACATGTTGGATCAGGGATCAGACATGTTGGAGTCAGAGATCAGACATGTTGGATCAGGGATCAGACATGTTGGATCAGGCATCAGACATGTTGGGTCAGGGATCAGACATGTTGGGTCAGGGATCAGACATGTTGGATCAGGCATCAGACATGTTGGATCAGGGATCAGACATGTTGGATGAGGCATCAGACATGTTGGGTCCAGGATCAGACATGTTGGATTCGGGATCAGACATGTTGGATTCGGGATCAGACATGTTGGATCAGGCATCAGACATGTTGGATCAGGGATCGGACATGTTGGATGAGGGATCAGACATGTTGGATCAGGGATCAGACATGTTGGATCAGGGATCAGACATGTTGGATCAGGCATCAGACATGTTGGATCAGGGATCAGACATGTTGGATCAGGGATCAGACATGTTGGATCAGGCATCAGACATGTTGGATCAGGGATCAGACATGTTGGATCAGGGATCAGACATGTTGGATCAGGCATCAGACATGTTGGATCAGGGATCAGACATGTTGGATCAGGGATCAGACATGTTGGATGAGGGATCAGACATGTTAGGATCAGGGATCAGACATGTTGGATCAGGATCAGACATGTTGGATCAGGATCAGACATGTTGGATCAGGATCAGACATGTTGGATCAGGGATCAGACATGTTGGATCAGGGATCAGACATGTTGGATCAGGGATCAGACATGTTGGATCAGGGATCAGACATGTTGGGTCAGGGATCAGACATGTTGGGTCAGGGATCAGACATGTTGGATCAGACATGTTGGATCAGGGATCACACATGTTGGGTCAGGGATCAGACATGTTGGGTCAGGGATCGGACATGTTGGATCCAGGGATCAGACATGTTGGATCAGGATCAGACATGTTGGATCCCAAGAGACAGGGGATCAGACATGTTGGATGAGGATCAGACATGTTGGATCAGGGATCAGACATGTTGGGTCAGGGATCAGACATGTTGGATCAGGGATCAGACATGTTGGATCAGGGATCAGACATGTTGGATCAGGGATCAGACATGTTGGATCAGGGATCAGACATGTTGGGTCAGGGATCAGACATGTTGGATCAGGGATCAGACATGTTGGATCAGGCATCGGACATGTTGGATCAGGGATCAGACATGTTGGATCAGGGATCAGACATGTTGGGTCAGGGATCAGACATGTTGGGTCAGGATCAGACATGTTGGATCAGGGATCAGACATGTTGGGTCAGGATCAGACATGTTGGATCAGGGATCAGACATGTTGGGTCAGGGATCAGACATGTTGGATCAGGGATCAGACATGTTGGGTCAGGGATCAGACATGTTGGATCAGGGATCAGACATGTTGGGTCAGGGATCAGACATGTTGGGTCAGAGATCATGTGTTGGATCAGAGGGCATCGGACATGTTGGGTCAGGGATCAGACATGTTGGATCAGGGATCAGACATGTTGGGATCAGACATGTTGGATCAGGGATCAGACATGTTGGATCAGGGATCAGACATGTTGGGTCAGGGATCAGACATGTTGGGTCAGGGATCAGACATGTTGGATCAGGCATCAGACGTCCAAATTGTTTTTGCCCAGGGTTTTCTACAGGACTTACTTCACAGAGTGTGAAATAAGATGTGACATAGCAGGGGTGAGGAAAATCTATAGCCTGTAGCTACTTGTTACACTTGACTCACACCTGGCGATGGACACTCATGTAAATCAACTCTGCAGAATATGCTTCTTTCATCTACGAGCCATTGGCAGAATCACGTCATCTCATCCGTCGTGATGCAGCACACGGTCTGGTCCAGGGACTTGTTATATCAAGAATTGATTACTGCAATAGCCTCCTTTTTGGTATTTCTCAGAAGCTGCTATCAAAATTGCAAAATGTCCAAAATACAGCCTCCCGAATCATAAGCAGAACTTCAAAGGGCTCCCACATAACACCTGTCAGGAAAAACCTCCACTGGCTGCCTGTTAAATCAAGAATTGACTTTAAAATATTGTGTTTTGTCTACAAATGCCTCAATGGCAAAGGCCCAGAATACTTGAAAGAACATCTTACCCCATACACTCCAGAAAGACAGCTCCGTTCTCAGAATCTGAACCTACTCTCTGTGCCTCGGTTCAAACTGCAAACTTTTGGAAGGAAATCCTTTGCCTGCTCTGCCCCTCTACTCTGGAACTCTCTCCCTATCACCATTAAATCAGCAGTTGACTTTAATTCCTTCAAACGACTTTTCAAGACTCATCTGTTTTCAGGGGCGGTGGGGTAGCCTAGTGGTTAAAGCGTTGGCTCGTCAAGCCGAAGACCTGGGTTCGAATCCCCACATGGGTACAATGTGTGAAGCCCATTTCTGTTGTCCCCAGCCGTGATGTTGCTGGAATATTGCTAAAAGCGGCGTAAAACCAAACTCAGTCAGTCAGTCAGTCATCTGTTTTCACTGCATTATGACTAGCTACTAGTCCCTCATTGTATATATGTATATTATCCACCCCCACTTTGTTAGCGGTTTGAGCATGGGCCTTGTGCATGGAAAAGGTGCGTTATAAGTTCACATTTATTATTATTATTATTATACTTGTCATAGAACAAGTCTTGTTTACTTGCCATTAGTGACTTCAATGTTTTGGTAGTCTGTCGTGATGGAACTGTACTTCATCATACGTGATAGCCATATGAAAAACCTAAATATTGAAATGTTGTGAAGTC